GAGAATCGCTTGAACCCGGGAGGCAGAGGTTGCGGTGAGCCGAAATTGTGCCATTGCACTCCAGCCTGGACAATAAGAGTGAAACTCCATCTCAAAACAACAACAACAAAATAAGTTGCCAATTTCATATCCTCAAGATCACAGCATGGAGGGGAAGACAGAAAAGTGAGCAGGGAGCTCAGCTCCAGAGGCTGACAGAGCACAGACCAGCTTTGATTGGTCCAGGAGAGCTTCCTGTATGTAGGAGGCGAAGCCCTCGCTGAGACCTAAACAGTGAGAGGGATCAGCCTGGGAATGGGTGGGGAGGGAACCCGGAAGAAGCGGCAGCCCAGGGAAAGGCTTCAGATGAGACTCTGGTACCCTCAGGCATCTGCACATACCTCTGTCTGGCTGGATCATGGAGTGATAAGGGTTAGTGGTAAGGAGATTGTTGGAGAGATGAGTGGGGCATCTTGTAGCTCTCTGCCAGTCATGTTGAAGAGCTTGCTTCCCAAGTGCACTGGAGACCCATTGAAGGATCTACACTCCAGGACTCTTCTTGGCCAGCACTCCTTTCCAGGAGAGAGAGGCGGGGGGATATCCGTATGAGAATCTGGCTTGCCCTTTGGCAGTGTAGGAAAGTGTCTGTTTAACCACATCTGCACACTCATTGGGTATTATTTTTTTAACTCCTGACCAGCTTGCTAGCAGCAATATGGGCTCTTGTGGTTTAGCTGCCATTCCTTCATTTTCCGGAGAGATTGAACATTCTCCCATTTGCCAATTAGTCCTGTGTGGATTTGCTCTTGTGAGTATTTATTCCTCTCTCTCATTGGTCTTGAAGGAGAAACCAGATCCAGGGCCTCCAGGAGAATGTGCGGAAGCTGCCGAAGCTGCCCAGCTTGTCCCCACTTGCCATCAAGCATCTGTGGATTCGCACAGCCTTGTTTGAGAAGGTCCTGGACAAAATTGTGCATTACCTTGTGGAAAACAGCAGGTGAGAGGGAAAGACTCAATACCTGGCCATGCTCTGCCCCCACCTGCTGGCCGTCGTGGGAATTGCATCCCCTCACACAAAGCTGCTTTCTTTTTCTCTTTGACAGCCACTAAGTTTGAAAGGAATTAAATGCCTGAACGTTGGGTAGATTCAAGAGCTTAATGGCAGTGCAAGGTCTTCGGATTTAGGGTGGAGTATAGGGATCCTGAGTTTCTTCCTTCTCCTGTGGATTACTCCACTCAATCACTGTGTGGCCCTAGAGAGTTGCTTAGCCTCTCTGTGCCTGTTAATCTCCTTTGGTAAATGGCATGGCGATTCCTGATACTCCAGAGAAGTGAGAAGGGAATTTGGTAAATATACAGCATTTTGAAAATGCATGGTGAGCCTTTCTACATTTTCTCCACTAGCTTAGATTAATCTGATGTGAAAGTTTTAGAGTATGAACCCTCTTGGGTAACCATTCATCCATGCATTCATTCATCCAGCAAATATTTAATGAGGACCTGCTGTGTACTGGCACTAACCTAGACATCAGGGATACAGTGGTGATGCCTGTCATGTTACAGAGCTTGTACATCATCTCAAGAGCCATGGAAGAATTTATCACCTGACACTCCTCGTGGCCAGCATGCCTCTCCAGCCCCCAAGAGGTGGCAGGAACAGTGGGATGGGGGGGAGAGAGAGAGAGAGAGTGTGTGTAATATCTCAGAATCTCCCCATCTTTCAGAATATAAAAGTGCTGGCTTAACCACATTTTCACACAGTGGATGTTTTGTTATCATTCTTTGCCCCTTTGCAAGGAAAATATGCATGAAAGTGGCAAGAAAAATCCCTCTTCTCATGAAGTTCATGTGCTTGCAAGGAAAACCAGCAAACAGTCATGGTGACAATACGTGATGGATGTTCCAAGGGGGCGTGGTGGTGTTGATTATTTTCTCCTGGTGGTCAGGGAAAGTGTCCTGGATGGCGCAACAGTTAAGCCTCCATTTGAAGAGCACGGAGGCATTAGCCAGGTGATGGGATGGGGAACGAAGTGTTTCTGGTGGAGGGAGTAGCAGGTGCAGAGGCCTAGAGACAGGAGAGAAAATGCAAGAAATCCGAGCTCTGGATCTCCAGTTCACTATTTACCTTGTAGTAATAACATGTCTCTGCCTCCTGTCCCATGAAGGTTTCTGGGCCTCTTTAATTATTGCCTTTGGCATATGACCTTGAGCATATGACCTGCTGATTCAGTTGGTCAAAGGGAATTAGTAATTTATTTGAGAAGCAATGTCAACCTGCTTTCTTTTCATTTCAACTTTTTATTTTTAATTTAGATTTACATAGAAGTTGCAAAATTAGTACAGAGAGTACTAATTGCCTAACCTCAATGATAACATTTTACATACCCATAGTGCCATGATCAAAACCAGGAAACTGACATTGGTACAATACTATTAACTAACCGCAAAACTTTTTTGGATTTCATCAATTTTTATAGGTACTCAATTTTTTTTATACAGTTCTATGACACTTTAACACATGTATAGTTTCATATAACCCACACCACCATCAGGATACAGAATTATTCCAAAATAAACCTCATCACCCCAAAGAAACTCCTTTCAGCTTCTTTTTTTTTTTTTTTTTTTTAAGATGGAGTCTTGCTCTGTCGCCCAGGCTGGAGTGCAGTGACGCGATCTCAGCTCACTGCAAGCTCTACCTCCCGGGTTCATACCGTTCTCCTGCCTCAGCCTCCCGAGTAGCTGGGACTACAGGTGCCCACCACCACACCCGGCTAATTTTTTTTTGTATTTTTAGTAGAGACGGGGTTTCACCATATTAGTCAGGATGGTCTTGATCTCCTGACCTCGTGATCCGCCCACCTCAGCCTCCCAAAGTGCTGAGATTACAGGCTTGAGCCACTGCGCCCAGCCCCTTCAGCTACTTTTTACAGTCACACCTCGGTTCCAACGCTACCTGCTAATTTTAAAATTTATTTTTATTTTTTGAGATGGAGTCTCATTCTGTCGCCCAAGTTGGAGTACAATGGCGCGTCTTGACTCAGTGCAACCTCTGTCTCCCGTGTTCAAGTGATTCTCATGCCTCAGCCTCCCAAGTAGCTGGTTTTGCAGGCATGCACCACCACGCCAGACTAATTTAGTATTTTTAGTAGAGACAGGGTTTCACCATATTGGGCAGACTGGTCTCGAACTCCTGGCCTCAGGTGATCCTCCCACCTTGGCCTCCCAAAGTGCTGGGATTACAGGCATGAGCCACTGTGCCTGGCCTTTTTTAATTTGTTTTGAGAGCCCTACCTACTCATTTTTGAGGCAGCATGTTTGAGGGTTTTGATCATGTAATTCTGCTGATTTTTAGAAACTGAGTGGTGGCAAAGTGAAAAGTTTCTTAATGTGTTATCTTCAGATTTGATGCCAAAATATGTACAACCTTGATATTGAATAAGTCCAGAGCATGTCAATTCTGGCTCATACAATATTCCAGTTGATGGAAGACTCTCAGGGGGTAAGATTACAGTGATGTTGCCACCATTTCGTGAGGATTTCCTGATGTTGGGCTCTGTGCTGTGCTATGTAAGCAGGTTGTCATTGAATCCTTCCAACAACCCAGGCATTTGAGTTCTATACTTCCTCCCATTTTACAGCTGAGGACCAAAGCTCAGAGAGGGCTCTCACTTGCCCAGCGATACACAGCAAGACAGGGAGTGGCATAGCTGGGCTCCCACCCATTCTGTGGCACCCCAGATCCCATGTCCTTTACTTTCTGCTGTATGCTGGCAAGAGTTGAGGCAGGTGGGCTCAGCCCAAGCCTGTATCTGCCTGCCGTATGGCCTCCAGCAACTAAATCACTTACCCTCTTTTGGGAGAACCCACTCCCGATGTTTAACATGGGTTATTTTCTATTTCCTAAGTATCTCGACTGGGTTGAGAAATAAAGGGAAAGAGCACAAGAAAGAGAAATTTAAAGCTGGGTGTCCGGGGCAGACATCTCATGTTGGCAGGATCCGTGATGTTCCCCGAGCCATAAAAGCAGCACGTTTCTATTAGCTATTTTCAAAAGGGGAGGAAGTGCACGAATAGGGTGTGGGTCACAGAGATCACATACTTTACAAGGTAATAAAATATCACAAAGCAAATGGAGGCAGGGCGAGATCACAGGACCACCGGATGAGGTGAAATTAAAATTGCTAATGAAGTTTCGGCAGGCATTGTCGTTGATAACATCTTATCAGGAAACAGGGTTTGAGAGCAGACAACCTGTCTGACCAAAATTTATTAGGTGGGAATTTTCCTCCACCTGATAAGCCTGGGAGCGCTAAAGGAGACCGGGGCTTATTTCATCCCTTCGGCTTTGACCATAAAAGATGGGATGGGACAGGACGCCTTGAAAGGGGCCGTCTATAAGCCTACCTTCAGGGCGCATTCTCTTTCTCAGGGCTGTTCCTTGCTGAGGGAAAGAATTCAGCGATATTTCTCCTATTTGCTTATGAAAGAGGAGAAATATAGCTCTGTTCCGTCCGGCTCACTGGCAGCCAGTTCAAAGTTGCCTGTCTTGTTCTCTGAACATTGCTGTTATCCTGTTCTTTTTTTAAGATGCCCAGATTTCATATTGTTCAAACACACATGCTCTACAAACAATTTGTGCAGTTGATACAATCACAGGGTCCGCAGGGTCATCTTCCTCAGTTTACGAAGGAGATGACGGGATTAAGAGATTAAAGACAGGTATAGGAAAACACAAGGGTATTGATTGGGGAAGTGATAATTGTCCATGAAATCTTCACAATTTATGTTCAGAGATTTCAGTAAAGACAGGTGTAAGAAATTATAAAAGTATTAATTTGGGGAACTAATAAATGTCCATGAAATCTTCACAATTTATGTTCTTCTGCTGCGGCTTCAGCCAGTCCCTCCGTTTGGGGTCCCTGACTTCCCGCAACACCCTCTCTGGGCCTGAGATCCCTTGGGAGGTCAGAACAAGGTTCTTTTCCATCCTAAAATTGTTTGTTTCTAGACTGTATGAGTTTTCAAGGAATTAGAAACCACTACACAATAACTCAGTTGTGGAAACATTCAGCACAAACATTGTATTGATGGTGTATTAGTTCATTTTGATGCTGCTGATAAAGATATGCCTGAAACTGGGAACCAAAAGAGGTTTAATTGGATTTAAAGTTCCACATAGCTGGGGAAGCCTCAGAATCATGGTAGGAGGCAAAAGGCACTTCTTACATGGTGGTGGCAAGAGAAAAATGAGGAAGAAGCAAAAGCAGAAACCTCTGATAAACCCATCATATCTCGTGAGACTTATTCACAATCACAAGAATAGCATGGGAAAGACCGGCCCCCATGATTCAATTATGTTCCTCTGGGTCGGTCGCTCCCACAATACGTGGGAAGTCTGGGAGATACAATTCAATTTGGGATTTGGGTGGGGACACAGCCAAACCATATCAGATGGCATCACTTGTTATTCTTCACAGCCAAATCCCAGGGGGCATTTTTGAGCATCTCAGGCCAGTGCTCTCCATATTAGTTATCAAGGCAGGAAAGCTTGTTATATAGCCTTTCAGTACCCACTGCTGCTAAACAGCATTTGGTTGCCCCGGTAATAGAAGGGCAGACATCATCTGAGCCTCTAAGTCACTTCCTGTCTCAAATGGAAGATGTGGTAGAGGCAGATAGAGTCAGCCAGGCCTCTGCAACCTATTAATTATTATTCTTGTTACTGTTATAAAGGCTCTATCATGACCATGTGTTAAGGATGTACATGTTGAGCACTCCGCTAAATGCATTTAATTTTTTGTTTCTCTCCAAAGTCCTTCCAATAGGCTGGTCATGGTGGCTTATGCCTGTAATCTCAGTGCTTTGGAGGCCAAGGTGGTGGGATCACTTGAGGCCAGGAATTCAAGACCAGCCTGGGCAACATAATAAGACCCTGTCTCTACAAAAAATTAAAAAATTAGCCAGGTCTGGTGGCACATGCCTCTAGCCCCAGCTAATTGGGAGGCTGAAGTGGAAGGATCGCTTGAGCCCAGGAGTTCGAGGTTACCGTGCACTTTGATTGTGCCACTGCATTCCAGCCTGGGTGACAGAGAAAGACCTTATCTTTAAAAAAAAAAAAAAAAAGTCCTTCTGTCAGCCCTATGAGCTATATTATTATTATCCCCATTTTACAGATGGGGCAGCTGAGGCTCTGGGTGGTAACCAAGTGATACTGGGGATTGAACTCTCATCTATGGATTGTGCGTCCTCTGCTGGTCTCCATCCAAACCTGCATATTCTCTCCTCTTGCTAGTAAATACTATGAGAAGGAAGCTCTCCTGATGGACCCTGTGGACGGCCCCATCCTTGCGTCTTTGTTGGGTAAGTGGTCCTGTGACCACTTCTAGATGGAGCTGAGCTTCATCTAGACCCCTGCTCTTGAGTCTCAGGGGCACCTCCTCTGGGATACTCTCACTCCTGTCCAGCCTCGCCCATCAAAATGCACGCTGTCCTGGCAGGCTGGAAGAGAGGGTAGTGAGGTGGGCGGCCATCTGGTGGTAGATGAGCGGGAGGACTTTCCGGGGCAGTGGGTTCCTAGCTCCCACGTGCCCCTCAGTGGGGCCCTGTGCCCTAGAGTACACCAAGATGAAGACTGCAGATCACTTCTGGACTGATCCCTCGGCTGACGAACTTGTCCAGAGGCACCGCATCCACAGCTCCCACGTGCGGCAGGACTCGCCCACCAAGCGTCCCGCGCTCTGTGTGAGTGGGGTGGACAGTGGGGCTGTGGGAGGGACCTTGCTTGGGGGCAGGAAACAGGGTGGGAGTCCTCAAGGTCACCTCAGGTCTCATCCCTCTGTCTCCCCTCATGTTCTACCAGATCCAGAAGAGGCATTCCAGTGGCAGCATGGACGACCGGCCATCCCTCTCTGCCCGCGATTATGTGGAGTCCCTGCATCAGAACTCCCGTGCCACCCTGCTCTATGGCAAAAACAACGTTCTGGTTCAGCCGGTGAGAGGTTATCTTGGGCCCAGATCTTGCACTGAGGGTCTCACTGCAGGTTATGGAGGAAGAGGCCTCTCTGGCTCCAGGTTGCCAATCCATTCATCCATTTATCCACTCACCCATGCACACATCTATCCGCCCAACATTCATTCATCTGTCAATCTATATGTACATCCCCCCATCCTTACATCCATCCATCCATCCACCCATTGTTACATCCATCCATCCACCCATTGTCACATCCATCCATCCACCCATCTTTTTTTTTTTTTTTTGAGATGGAGTCTCGCTCTGTCGTCCAGTCTGGAGTGCAGTGGTGCGATCTCAGCTCACTGCAAGCTCCGCCTCCCAGGTTCACGCCATTTTCCTGCCTCAGCCTCCCGAGTAGCTGGGACTACACGCGCCTGCCACCTCGCCCAGCTAATTTTTTGTATATTTAGTGGAGACGGGGTTTCACCACGTTAGCCAGGATGGTCTCGATCTCCTGACCTCGTGATCCGTCCACCTTGGCCTCCCAAAGTGCTGGGATTACAGGCATGAGCCACCGCGCCCAGCCAATCCACCCATCTTTACATTCATTTATCTACCTGTCTTTACATCCATCCATCCATCCATTCATCCGTTTGTCCATTTATTTTCCCATCCATCTCTTCACTCACCTGTATACTCAGGCTTCTATCCGTCTGTTCACTCTTGTTCTCCCTCATTGATTCAGCAAACATTTCCATGGACCTGCTATGTGCTAGGTGCATATGGTGTCAAGATCTTCATTCTCAGGACCAATATTTCTTGATGCTTCCCTATGTGTCAGGCACTGTGCAAGGTGTTTTCAACTGTATTAACTCTTAAACCTCCCAACAACCCTTTGAGGCAGGTACCATTTTTTCAGGCCTCAGTGTTATCAAATGGTAATACTGAGGGCTATACAGGTGAAGTAAGGTGCAGATAGTTATGATTTGAATTCAGGCCAGCTGGTGCCAGAGTCAGTGCCATCACTCAATCACCTTCTCTGCCCCATCACACGGCTAGGCTGCAGGGATGACTGGTAGGTGAGGCATATATAGTTCCTGCCTTCATGCAGTGTCCCCTTTGGCTGTATCCTCCCTAGGGCCATTTGGTTGCATGGTCATTGTGGTGTTTGGGCTCTCAGCGGGAGGAAGCAAAGGGAAAACCATTAGCCACTCCATCTCTGTAGTCAGTTTTAATCACTGAGTGACCGTGAGCAAGTCACTTTTCCCTCTGAGCCTCCATATCTGCATCACAATGGGTATAAAATCCGATTGCTGCAAATCTAAGAAGCCACTAATTTAAGATACACCATTTTCTTTTTTGCTGTTTTCAGACAGAGTCTCACTCTGTCGCCCAGGCTGGAGTGCAGTGGCACGATCTTGGCTGACTGCAAGCTCCGCCTCCCAGGTTCACGCCTTTCTTCTGCCTCAGCCTCCCAAGTAACTGGGACTACAGGCGCCCACCACCACGCCTGGCTAATTTGTTATATTTTTAGTAGAGACGGGGTTTCACCGTGTTAGCCGGGATGGTATCCATCTCCTGACCTTGTGATCCGCCCACCTCTGCCTCCCAAAGTGCTGGGATTACAGGCGTGAGCCACTGGGCCCAGCCTAAGATACACCGTTTCTTAACGTAATCTAAACAAATTAAAAATGGTATTTAGAGGGCCGAGTATGGTGGCTCGTGCCAGTAATCCCAGCACTTTAGAAGGCTGAGGCAGGAGGATCACAAGGTCAGGAGTCCAAGACCAGCCTGGCCAATGTGGTGAAACTCTGTCTGTACTAAAAATAGAAAAAAATAGCCGGGTATGGTGGCACGTGCCTGTAGTCCCAGCTACTTGGGAGATTGAGGCAGAATTGCTTGAACCCAGGAGGTGGAGGTTGCAGTGAGCCAAGATCACACCATTGCACTCCAGACTGGGAAACAGAGTGAGACTCTGTCTCAAAAAAAAAAAAAAAAGGAAAAAAAGCTATTTAGATTATATACAGTGTTTTTGTTTTGTTTTGTTTTGCTACTTAGAAAATTTAGCTTATGCTTTTTGAAAGAGGTCTTTGAAACTTACATGGATGTAGTTTTGTTTTTTAATCTATATCACTTTTATAAGTAACACACAGGGAAAATGTCATTGAAATACATTCATTAAGATATTCTTCAAACTTCTTCCAGTTCAGAGTTCCATCCTCTGTATCACTTTTCGACTTAGAGTCATCAGTGCCCTCATTTTTCCACACATTGTTTCCTGTTCCATCAAGAGAAGGAGTTAACAATCATCTGTGCCTCTACTTGTTTTTGCAAATAAAGTTTTATTGGGATACAGCTACAGCCTATGACTGCTTTCAGGCCTTGCTGGCAGAGTTGAGTGGTTGCAGCTGAGCTTGTATACCTTACAAATCCAAAAAATATTTCCTATTTGTCCCTTTACACAAAAAATTTGGTGGTCCCTGATCCAGGAGCACAGGAAGCGCAGCATTTCTTGCAAGAATGTCCACTCTCATCTCCGGGATGTTTTTTGTTTTTTGTCTTTTTTGGTTGTTTTTTTTTTTTTTTTGAGACAAGGTCTCACTGTCACCCAGGCTGGAGTGCAGTGGTGTGATCATGGCTCACTGCAGCCTCAAACTCCTGGGCTCAAGCAAGCCTCCCACCTCAGCCTCCTGAGCAGCTGGGACTACAGGTGTGTACCACCATGCCTGGCTAATTTTTAAGTTATTTTTTGTAGAGATGGGGTCTTGCTACATTGTCCAGGCTAATGTAAAACTCCTGGGCTCAGGTAATTATCCCACCTCAGCCTCCCAAACGTCTGGGATTGCAGGCGTGAGCCACTGCACCCAGGCTGTGATGGTTCTTAAGTCCTATAAAGTATTTGTTTGTTGCTTTACAAGAAAATCTTGGCTGGGCACAGTGGCTCATGCCTGTAATCCTAGGACTTTGGGAGGCCAAGGCAGGTGGATCATCTGAGATCAGGAGATTGAGACCAGCCTGGCCAACATGGCGAAACCCCATCTCTACTAAAAAAAATAAATAAATAATACAAAAATTGGCCGGACGTGGTGGCAGGTGCCTGTAATCCCAGCTACTTGGGAGGTTGAGGCAGAAGAATCACTTGAACCTGGGAAGCAGACGTTGCAGTGAGCCGAAATCGCACCACTGCCCTCCAGTCTTGGCAACAGAGCAAGACTCCATCTCAAAAAAAAAAGAAGAAGAAGAAACAATCTGGACTTGTGGGCTTCCCTGCAGGGATGAATACGTGCCTGCCTTGCCAGCGTCACGCAGGCACTCTACCGCTCCGTTCCCAGCCTTCATATGTGCACAGTAGGTTTTCCATTCAAAGATGAATCGCGGTCAAATCTTTTTGAAGGCATTTAAAATAGCACCTACATTCCACACGTGAAATAACAACCGTGTCCAAAACTTAATTGAAATGATGATGCTTTGAACGGCTGTTCAGTCAGGCAGGACAGCCACGTCACAGTTGTGATTAGAAGACCCACCCCCATTTCAGGTACATGAAAAAGTGAACAATCAAGATGTGTGTCTTTGGATCGATAAAATACTACACTGCTCCTCCCTTGGGGTTGTAAGCGCGTGGGTTAAATCAAGACGGTGCGTGTGAAGGCTGAGCCGTGCTCGGGACACATTTGGTGCTCAGTAAATGTTGGGGTGAATTTGGTGGGGGGATGGTGACATCGCCCTCCCCACACACCCACCTGGGATGAAACAAAGCCGGTGAGAATCCCTGTAGGTAAATCTAGGGGAGAAAAGGGAACGGCTACTGGGCGGGGAGTGTGGCGGGGGTCTTTGGGAGGAGGTTTCTGAGTATTGTCTCTGGGAAGGGCCCTAGAGCCCAGCTGCCATCTGTTTCTCCCTTAAGCCTGGCCAAGATAAATGCCTTCTGTTTTGAAAAGCATGATTTTCAGTGGGGCAGGGCCTCCTTCCTGGCTCTGAAGGAACCTGGGGTCAGGGACCCTCGAGATCAGAAGGAAGTCAGGGTGTGAAAGTGATGGGAGTGGGAGGCTTTTACAGCTGGATGATGTAGAACCCATCCTGGGAGGTTGGCTGCAAATGGCTTTGCTTAGCAAGGCCACCTGGAAGGAGGCTTTAGAGTCTTCCACGTGGCCAGGGCCTTGAAGGGATGAACCCAACCTCTTAGTTCCGATGATGTGTTCTTGAGTCAAATGAGCCAGGACCTATGTCCACAGCGACTCCAGCACCATGGCCAGACCTGAGTCCTCCTCTCTCTGCAGAGGGACGACATGGAGGCTGTGCCAGGTTACCTGTCCCTGCACCAGACGGCTGACATCATGACCTTGAAGTGGACCCCCAACCAGCTGATGAACGGGTCTGTGGGGGACCTGGACTATGAGAAGAGGTAGGGCACTGCGTCTGCTCTGTGTCCCTTGGGTCCCTCCACTCCCCTCGGCACAAGGAAGTTCCTCCCCGGGAGAGGGGAGGCCTGTATCCAGCCCCTGCTTCTGCCCGCTCTTCTGCCTTCTTGTTAGGGTCACTTGGCTCAGCCTCCCTGCAGCTGTAGCCTCCTGGGAAACTCTAAGGCTCGAGAGGATCTGGAAATCAGCTGGAAGAGTCTTAAGGCATGGGAGTTGGCAATGCCCTGGACAAAACCATCCAGAGGGAGAAATGTTTACAGAGATCTCCTAAGCCTACAAATGGCAAATATTCTTCAGTCTCTGTCCTCCTTCTCGATCACTCAATAAAAAGGGAAGGCAGGAGGTATTAGCAGGCGTCTGGTCCAGGGCTGCATCTGCCTTGAAATCCTGTGATTTATGAGACCCAGGAAAGGCTTTCGAGACACACTTGAAAGGAATGCAGGGACAGGGGATTTCCTGCTGCAGTGCCTGGATTTCAGCCCAATTAGGGAAGACTTTAGGAGGAACAAATAAAGCCGTGGTGCAGAGGTGTGGCTGGTTCAAATATTTCAGCTTGAGGAGGCTTGGCTGCTGGTGGGGAGGAGAAGCAGTGGTTTTTCCTGCTCCAGGTCCACATCGAATCTTATTTTTATGTTACATTTTATTGCTTTCCTAAAAAATTATTTTACAATTAAGAATTTTTGGCC